ATATTTTACACGACTAAATTATTTTAGTCATCAATTATTCTGAAAATTAATTAAGAAGATTTTTTTATGGACACTTTCAGCCCATTTTTCATACAATATCATAAAACAAGTCTTTAATACAATATTATAAATACATTAAAAAAATGCAGCTGATTTTATAAATCAGCATTTTTTTGCCTAGACTGCTATATTGTAGCTTTCCTTTAGTGAATGTTTAATCATTTGCAGTGAAGGATGTATCTGCATCTAAAAATAATTTTATCAACAACAAAGAAGAAACAAATATTTCCACCTGTTGTACAAGTTATTATAGGTGATAATGTAAAGGCCTGAACACTTGAGCAAATTTAAAAAACGTCCATTAGATATACATCACTGGAAAACAGAGGGTGACCTACAGACATCAGATAAATCATAAACTAGATCTCAAGAAGAATTATTGTTATTATTCCTTCTCTGGTTTATACATTTACAAACTTACAAAGCAACAGTGCCTCCAGAACACAGATAAATCTATAACCTTTACTACTGAAAGCTCATGACTGTGTCCTCAGCTTACCAGCACCATCAGGAGTGATTGTGCCCAGTTTGACAGCCAGCGGGTATCCGGTCTCCTGGAAATGGAGGAGGGCGTGGTTGTTGCCGCCGGAGCCGTCGAAGTACCTACGACCGCACAGCACTTTGCCGTCTGTGAGGTTCATCCAAATGTTCTCCTGCAGGTCACACACCTCACACCGCCAGCCACTGCGGAGACAAAGAAGATTAAAACCTCTGACAAAGCTTTGGCACTCACCGGAAAAAAAAAAAAAAACTGTGAAAGAGTCATAGAGTCCAGGTTCTCTGAACTCTATTATTACAGAGAAAGCTTAAATTACTTCCTGTGGGCTGAATGTAAAACAAGGACCAGATCAGTTTAAAAAGATTTACTCCACAGAATGAGTGAGAATTAGTTTCTAATCTATGATTTTAAACATTGAGCAACGGTCTTAATTAATAAAGCTGCTGCTAATATGATCAGTCTTTAAGATAAATTAAAATATAGTTAGTTTACATTTTCTCAGATCAGAACTGTGTTATAAAGGTACAAGGTAGTTGTCACTTGGTTCTTTAGCGTGTGAATGTGTTGAAGTGCAACTGTGTTAGGCAAGGTTTTATTTGAATAATCTAAAAACTCTGTTAAGTAACAGATTTCTTAAAATACACATGTTAAAAACAGATTGATTAGTTTAATAAACCACCTGGGGGGGATCTTGACTCCGTTGTCCAGCTGTTTAAGGTTAGCGGCATGCTTCGACTCCTGTCTCACCTCTCCGTCCCACTGTTGAACTTGTAAAGTGTGAGACACTGAGTCTGCTGTCATGATACCCGACATAGACAGAGACACCTGGAAACACAGCAGAGGAAGCACTAAATGTTAGAATAATGTCTCAGTTACTGGAACTACAAGGTTTATTTAAACGGCTCTGGTATGAAAATGAAAGGTAACACTCTAGACGTTGCAAAAATCAACATTCAAGTTACTGAGTGAGAGTGAATGAATAATACACACAGATAAAAATGAAAATAAAATAAATTAAGCAGTTTTAATCCAGAACCTCTTGCAAACCAGAGTACAGATTCTGCCTATTTACTCTACAAACAAAAATAAAGAACAGAAATTTTGAAGAGGTATTAGTTGATAAAAGTTCAGGAGTTCCCAATAAACCATTTGGCACCATGTGCACCATCTGAAATGTTCTTATTTTTTTTGCCTAGAGCCAAAAAAATAATATCTAATGAATAATGAGTCAATGTTCCTATTGCAAGACAATAACGCCTTGAAACTTGAATGTGTAAAATCAGAGGAGCTTTGCAGCTGCTGTAATCATCGGAATGTAATTCTTATTACAATAAAAAAAAAATAAAAATTTACCCGGTCTTTAACAACATCAGGCATTGTGCTCAGGTCCTCTGAGGTCACTTCCTGTCTGTCAGGTAAAATGACCACCTTTACGTCCTCCTCGTAAAGCTCCTGCTCCACATCAAAACCTCCTTCAATCCCTGGAAGAAATGAGAAACAATATAATGATGCCAACATGCGATGTAGACGTGAAATGTCCCTCCATGGTTCTCTGAGGTCTTCTCTCTAGTCCAGTGATGCCTTCATGAACGGCTCTAGTCCAGGTTCTGAGTTCTGGTGAAGTAGGGGCCTAATAGTTTGTCCACAGACCCTCACTGCTGTTCTTCTTTTAAAACTTTTAATAACATACCTACTATTCAACAAGTGGTGACAGATCTAGAAAAACCATATAAAACACGTATTTCTGCATGCAGCAGATAATCATGTTTTGTTTATTTTTTTATGTGATGCAAAAGGCCAACAATAACAAAACTCACTGGAAAAAGAGCCAATGCTAGAGCGATGTGCCAATTCTCAAAGTCAAAATTTTTGTTTTAAATGTTATTGTTTTAAAAAAGAAGAAAAACAAAGAGCAGAGTGAAATTAAATATCAGGACAAACTCATCAGGGGAACAACAGGAAAACATTACATCACAAGGCTGAGCTTTTTTCCTGATGTTCTTTTGATTTAAACCCCATAGAATCACTAGAAGTTTAAATTGATAACGCATGCAAAATACATCCATGTACACTCTATATTTTGAGTTACAAGTATTAAAAAGTTTGGTGAAGTAGCATTTTGCAGCTCTGGCTCATCACATGTAAAAGCAACCAAGAAAGATCCTTTCCCAACTGGGAGAAAAGTGACCAAAATTAGAAATGGAAAGAAAAACAAAGCACAAAGAACCCACTCTCTGACAAGCAACAGGAGTCATGAAGAAACTTTGCATTTTATGTTCAAACCACAATAAACTGACACAAATACCAAAATTGTGACTTTGTGTGACCATGTTCTACTTTTTTTCAGAAATTCACCTCATCTCCAACAGATTTTTGACAAGTTGTGCAAACTTTTCATCCATTACCTCAGGAAAACTCACCTATAGCCAGTCGAGTGGGCTTTTTCTTAGGTGGGTGTCCTGAGCCAGAGTTGTTTTCATCCTCCTTCTGTGAACAAAATAAAAGTTTATCATAATTTGAAGACAAGTAATTAACAGACAGTTTAAACGATATTACACATTAAAGTCTACCTTAGTCTTTCTAGTCCGGGTAATGTGCAGGTAAGCCCTCTGACCAGTCCGAGCATGATGTCTGCCCACGTACTGACTGCCAAAACCCAGAAAAGTGTTCATGCACACGTATATGCCTCCTTCACTCTCCTGTAAAGACAAAACAAGTGCCAAAAGTCAGAGAATAATTCATAACATCAAGTCCTAACACAAGAGATTGAAGTTGGAGCACATCTGTAGCTCTTGATGACAAAGCATCCGTTGCTCTAGCTCCTGTCAACCTGCTTAGCTTCACTACTTAGCAGCTTGTCTCACAAAATGAGATAAGGAAAAAGAGTGGTTAAAGTAAGCGACAAGTTAGGATTAAATTCAGCTCATTCAAAGTCATAGCTATTTCTAAAAAAAAACTTTATTTGTATTCTACTTTGCCAGTTATAACACTCAGCTACACTGCTAGCGCTGCTAACTTTCCATTACAGAGCCTTACTAGCTTAGCATCAAGCTAGCCTGCTAGTTAGCCACAACAAGAACATCTAGCTCAAAGTAGGAAACCTCTGGGGGGGTGGTTCTTGACACCGTACTGCAAATGATATAAATGCATTTGGAAAACTAACACTCTTCTTCTGGCTAGTGGATGTAATGCTTCACAAAAGGAAAAAGCTCACCGGTGACGAAAATGACAGGGCGCATTCGTCTTTGTGGACACGGTCCCCGGGCTTTGGGACGCGAATTGTGGACAAAACTGACATCAAAACCTCTCCAACGTCCGCCATGGTGAAACGACTAGTTCTGCTTTTCAGTAGGACGGTGGCTGTCCTGAGTTTGGGCACCTAGTTGGTTGTTTACCTGGCTCTAAAGGGCGCCTGTTGTCTCTCCTGTGTGTTTGGTCTGAATGAATCAGGAGCCGATGCCTGGTGTTGAGGAAGGAAGGCCGAACGAACGAAGAGCCAGGGCTTTTACCGTAATACACAGAATAAAGGCACCCAATGTTATTTATATAAACTAACTGTATGAAGATTTGTGAATTTTTGAAAAGCCAGATATCTGGAACACTTTAGGCCAAATATGCTTTTACTATATAACTTTCTTACTTTGCTATGGATTAATGATTCTTTGACATAGAATTAGTTTGTTGATTTTATTTTCCATTTTATGATTTCCATCTCAGATTTGGTGAACTCTAATTTGGATTATTCAGAGCTATTTACAAAACAACAGTTTAAAACCTGACATGTTGCAATTTTTTATTTTAAGAAACTGATTATTATGGAGCTCCTTTCTTCTATTCTTTGCAAAAATAGGTCGGAATTAAATGTAATAGCCTATGTGAAAAATACAGTTTGTAATATATGGTTCTTATATTAAACTGTAAACTGTCAGTATCAAAATGACATGATTTATAAAAAGGCACTTCGGGGGTCTCAAACTCCAGTCCTCAGGAGACCTGCAGTTTTTAGATGTGCCACAAGTACAAAAACGCTGGAAAGAAATGTCTAAATTACCTCCTTCTTGAGTAGATAAGGTCTCCAGAGCCTTAATGACCTAATTATTACAGTCAGGCGTGCTGCAGCACAGGCAGAGCTAATAGTTTTAGGGCAGTGGCCCTCCAGGACAGGAGTTTGACACCTGTTCCTTAGACTGTTTTGTTTATGCTTTTTTCCGCTTTTGATATCTAGACCACTTTGAGGAAATTGAAAATAAAAAAAGAGAGTGAGAGAGAGGCAGAGAGAGAGAGAGAGAGAGAGAGAGAGAGAGAGACTGAATATTTGCCTTGTCGGTGAGATTCCAACAGGCTGTGCTGACTTTGAGATGCACTTCCCTTTTTTTTTACGGTAGTAGAAGTTAAAGAAAATCGCGCCCTCTGGTGGCGAATTACAACAGTTGTAGTTTCAAACGCTGTCTAAAACATGCTCTGTCCCTTTAATAAGATCAAAACAAAACAGCAAACTTTACTTCGCTTTGATTTATGCACACATCTTTCGCATTTGGTGAAGTCAGCAACAAGATGTTAAGAACTTATAGCATTCAACGATGATGTTTCGTTTTCTCACACTGACTGATTTTTTTCTGGATCGCCTTCATCTGCAGACACTCCTCCTCTTCCTCTTCTGCTGCTGCGGTGGGATCTGCTTTTCGGACCATGGCGCTGCGCTCTGAACACTTCACTGTATACGTGGCGTTGTGTTTTCTTCTTGCAGCATTATCTACCCTCACTGTCAGAGCTTCCGGAGGCAGCGGATCTAAAGTGTTGTCTCTTTTGCAGCCGTATGACTTTCTGTATTACAGTGGGGTCCGCGCTTATTACGGAGAGGAGTGGACAAAGGCTGCAGAGCTGCTGGAGAAATCCATCCAGACCAAGGAGGCTCTGCTGAGAGCCCGCAGACAGTGTCATGATGACTGTGTGGCATCTGGGACCGAGGCTTTCAACAAACTGGGTAAGTTTATAGGTAATAACTACATACCCGTGACGATATTTATGAATCAGTCAGTCTGAATTAACTATAAATGTCAGATCGCTCAGCTTAGCTTCACCTCAGTTAATTTAGAGGCTGGTTGAGTTTATTAAAGTACAATGGTTTGCAGAGATTTCTAAACTTTGTCAGGTTATCATGCTACAACCACAAACTGCAATGCATCTTGTTGCAGCCTAAGGTTAGTCAGACTTCACACAGTCAGCTGAATTTAGGTTTCAACTAAGGATAAAACGATCCACTTCTTTCACTTCCGATACAGATATCTGAGGTTCAGGATTGGATAATACCGATCCGATACAGAAAACCTGTGCTGAATTAACTTAAAAATTTAGTTTTTTAAAACAGACTTAAAACGTACCAAATTACAAATGTATTTGATAGCCCTGCACCAGTACAGCACACTTAGGCAGGTAAATACATGTATGGCTGGATGTGAGATGTATTTGTGTTTTCTGTGTTGTCAGACTCAGAGAAGGGCAGCATGTGGGATCTCTGGGCTGTGGACTGGATTCAGCAAAAAGCAGAGTGTCTGAGGTTCTGTATCGGACGCTCTGTCACCTCTACAGGACAGCTTCCTGTTTCTAATGACATCGAATATGAATTCAACACTCGCAACCCCTACAACTTCCTACAAGTCACTTATTACAAGGTAAGATGCACTTTATGCCACGGAGGAGTATTAAAGGCACTGAATAAAAAGGAATTCTGACTTTAATCTTCTAAGATCAAAAGTCAGATATCCTTTTCTTTTTTTAGTGGTCCTACTCATCTTCTGAACAATGGCATATTAGGGCCACTGTAAATAGAAAAAAAGGTACATTTTTGTAGTAAATTTTCACCAAAAACAATCTGAAATTTCCCTACTAATTTTACAAATTGTCCTGTGAAAACAGTGACATTTTCTGCATTTCAAAAGTTGAAAATTTGCAAGAAAAAATTCAGAACATTTGCGATTAATCTTAGAGATTTTCTTGAAAAAATCATGGAGTTTCAAAAGTTGACTTTTCAACTTTTGAAACTCAGAAGTTTTTCTTGAAAATTTCTGAGATTAATCTAAGAAATTCAGTCTCTTTTTGCATATTTTTGACTTGTGGACCTCAGAAGTTTCCATATTTGTTTCTAGAAAATTTCAAAGATTATTATCAAGTTTTTTCTTTTTTCTATCTACATTGGTCCTAATACGTTGTCCTACACTCAAACTGCATCCTCAAAGCTCTGATTAATAAACTTATTAGTATTTTTACTTCCTAAAGTTAATATTCTGTGATGTTTAATTGAAATTAGCTGTTAATTGCGTTGTATTTTCTGACATTCTCTCCTCCTCCACACCAGTTGGAGAAGTTGAAAAAGGCGGCGTCTGCAGCTCACACGTATTTTGTGGCCAATCCGAGTCACCTGGAGATGAGGAACAACATCGAGAAGTACAGGCGCATGGAGGGAGTGACGGAGGACGACTTCCAAGACAGAGAGGCTGAGAAACATTGGGTAAGATCAGAAAAACAATCTGAATGCAGTGAGTGAGTCTGAATGATCCAGTGATGAGGCACAGCGTCCTACAGAAATATTTGAAATGTATATTTTGTTTTAGTAAAACCTCAAAAATCTATGTTTTTGTGTTACAGAAAAACAGAAAGTGGTGATAACCCTTTCATTATGAAGTGGGAAACCATGTGCTTTCAGAAGTATTTGATTGCTTTGTATTCTATTTAGAGTTATTACAATAAAGAAAACTGAATGCAAATGCACACTTTTTATATTCTTCCTTCCAGTTACGCACCAATCTATGTTGGTTGAAGACTTTAATAAACTTTAAACTTCAAAATTTTTAATAAAAACAATAAAGTTTGAGGTTGTTATGTGAAAAACTGTAAAAAGAAGGACAAGCTGCAGCAATTAAAGTAATTAAAGTAAAGTCATTAAAAATATACACCACTGCTCCTGAAGTTATTTCATCTAAGTTTCCAGTTTTAATGCGGGCGCATTGTTTTCTCTCAGGTTCTGTATGATGCAGCCGTGCAGCACGAAGCGTCGTCCGACTGGCTGCAGGCGGCGGAGAAATGGAGAGCGTGTGTGAATGAAACTCTGTGGCGGATAGATGAGTGCAGGGTGCAGTGTGAGGTTGCACCGCAGCCGCTGCCTGAAGACCGGGGAGTGGACGGGGTGGACGGCGCGTTCGAAAAGGCTGCAGGTGGGAAAAATCACAAAACACAATGAGATATTTTCACAGCACAGGAGAGTCGGGTCTTATTTTAGTGGAAATAAGACCTAAAACTTTTGTTTTGTTCTGGATTATTGTTTAGTGTATTTTGTCAGTGCTTTTAATCTCTTCATGCAGTTCGGTTGAATTTAAATATGTCAAATAAAACTAATAGGATGAGATGATAAATACACGTGGAAGTAGACAAATTTGTACTTTGTTAATTTGATTTTATTTGTTAATCCTTCTGCAAAAATTACAAACTTAGAGTATAAATATATTTTGGATTTCTTTAGGTTTCCCCCAGGTTTTGTTTTATCTTTTAAAATGATCTTAATTAGGTTTTCTAGAAGTTTTCAGAAGATCTTTCGAATAATTTTTTTCTTTTTATTTTATCTGTTGTTCAATTTAGTTTCAGTTCAATATGTGATGATTTAAACAGAAATATGATTCTTAATACTGCTGAATGAGCCAGGGCCGGATTTACAAGGATGAGGGGTCCTGGGCGGCAGCCTGTTTTGGTTCCACATCCTCTAAGAAAAAATGACTTTACTAATGTAGATATGAACAGATACATGATATATTTAACACATCCACTGGGCAATGACTCCTAATTGTTTAAAAAAAAATGACTATACCATTATAAGTTTTGATAATACTATTACTTTGCTCAAATAATATTTCTGTTAAACATTAACATTCATTTAAAAAATCAATAAATACATAAAAACCTGTAAACACATAAACTGTAATGACCGGCGTAGTTTATGACACATGTGGTCGTCCGTTTGTCTCGTCTGTCCAGCTCTGTCCCTGTCCCTCCTCTCATGCCGGCAGTCCTGCGTGACTCAGGTCGCCACACGACCCGGGCGGATTTCTGCGCAGGAGGACTTCTTACCCACTCAGCTTGAGCATCTGCACATTGCACAGTTTAAATGTGAGGCTTTGCTGAGTAAGGAGAAAATGTTTTAGCTATTGTTCCATTATTTATGGTGGATTTTTGTTTCTCCAACAGCTGGTGACGTGAGTGGAGCCCTGCAGACACTTCGTTCCTTTCTGCTGTTTTATCCCTCTGACAAGGACGCTTTAGACAACCTGCAGCTCTACTATGAGACACTTGGGGGCGATGCCGAGTCACACGGCATTCAGCCTGCTGGGGTAAAACTCTTGAGGTCGCTCATTGGCAGATGATCTAAATCTGAATATTCTCATGTTTCAACCACAAACTTTAATGGATTTTATTTGGACTTAATGTGAAAGAGCAGCACAAACCAATACAAAATTATATTTATATTACACTATACTATCAATAGAGGCATGAATTTTTGTTCAGGCCTTCATACTTTGGTTCCTTTTGATGGTACAAAATACCTTCAGATCATCTCATCATTAAATAGAGTCCACCAGTTTATCATTTAATCTCCAAATGAATGGCGGTTTAAATTTATTAGTGAACATTAGTGAACAAAAGGCATCATGAAGACTCCATAGATGTGTGGTAGAAGCTGCTCTGGTCAGAAAATGCTTGGGCGACGCATGCAAAATGTTTTGTACAGCAGGAATCAGGGTGGAGGCAGCATCATGCTGAATAGAGGCCAATCCTGGAAGAAAACCTGCAGAATCAGAGCATATACATGTGCTACAGTGGTCTAGTTAAAGTCCAGACCTAAATACAAATACATCTCAATTTTAAAATAAGTTTGAAAACTATAAAGTACATAGAATAGCAAGACAAAATGTAAAAAAGTTAAAGAAATCTGACCATAAACTGGGTTGTTTTGTGTTATTGTTATTTTCTACTGATGGTAAAATAATTCAGAGTTTAGTTGTGCAATCTCCATCTAAATGCTTTAAGTTCAATTTGGGATAACATGTATTTATTTAGAGCCCTTTAAGTGTAAATATATAAGATTATAGGCAGGTGGCTAATCTCCATCTTTAGTCTGAATGACTGGTTGATGTTACAGTGATAAAAAGCACAAATTAACACTGCAGAATAGCAAATGCATAAAATCTATACATCACTGAATCAATAACATTCATCCAAATAGTCCCGTTTGACTAACAGTTTGGGTTTTCATTCAGGAAATTGCCAGATACATCAACCAGTCGTTGCAGGAGAAGAGCCTGTTGTATTTCGGTGTGGAGAATCTGAACTTTACTTTCACGGACCCGGTAAGTGCTGACACCCAGAGCAGCGACTGAACGCTGTAAACGTCTGTTTGCTCAGTTTATTTATCATCCTGTTTGCAGGATCTCTGGACTCCAGAGGATGTTGTGCCTGAGTCTCTCAAAGAAAACTGGAGGTGAGACAAACAGAGGCAAAATTCACCTGAAATGTAAGGTTGACTCAGTGCGTTTGATTCCCTACAGAGCAGAAAAACAGATGATAAATGAGAAAATAAAGGAAGGAGATCAGCCAGAAGAAGTGGACGACAGCGGGTTTTATGCAGGCAAGAAAATCGTTCCAAAGTTTCATAATTTAGATTTTCTTCTGCTCATGTTTTACTGCTGTTGGTCTCAACAGGGGGTCCAGTCCCACAGGTGGGAGTGACCATAGCCATGGACGATGAAGCTCTAAACGGGACCAATCGGGTCGTTCTGGACGGAGTCATGACTGAGAAGGAGTGTGATAAAATACTGCAGCTGGCAACTGTAGGTTCCAATATTAAAACTCAACTCCCCTCCAACACAGAGGTTTTTGTTGAGGCGCACCGGTTTCCTTAACTTTGGGAGATCGGCCCATCTAATCTGAGCCATCTATTTTATCCACCGTCTAAAAGCGGTCTATAAGTCAACCACTGCCCTCTTCTGTTCTCTTGTTAGGAAGGTTTGACTGACAGACCGGCTCATCAGGTCTTATCTCCAAATCTGCAGTCAACAATAGTCGCCCCATTGTTGCAAATTCAGCAGTTTCTTTACTATAATTAGCAACATTTCAGACAAACAAATGTAAAAATTGGCCAAAATTGTGATAGACAGGTCAGGCTTTTTAAATAATCGGTCATTGGCGAGGGGCTAAAAAATTGCAATCGGTGCACTTTTAATTATTTGTCTAGTTTTTAGTCAAACGTTTTTAGTACACATCAAGATTATACTAACTTAAAAGTAACATATAATGGCTTGTTTTAAGTAAATAATTCCTTTACATTGATGAAAAAGTTGTAGTTCTATTGAAAGACAAATTCACTTAAATTTCCCCATGTTATAAATTTAATAATCAGCCAATGGAACTGGAACTTTTTTTTTTTATCAATATCAAGGAATTATTTACTTAAAACAAGATTCCATATCTTGCTTTTAGTCAATGTTAAGTTGGTTTTGTCTAAATATATTTGCAATAGAAACTAGACAATACTTGGTGAGATTTGTTGTTTTTACAGTGCATTTTGTGTTTTTCAGGTCGCGGCGTCTCTTGGCGATGGTTACAGAGGACGGCGGTCCCCGCACACTCCTCATGAGACGTTCGAGGGTCTCACCGTCCTCAGGGCTGTGAAGGTGGGTGGAAATCAGAAGACGAGAGCAGCAGTAGGAGAGGTTTTTGTTCGGCTAGAATCTCTGAAGTCCTCCTGCTGTCTGTGTCCCAGCTGTCTCAGGAAGGACTGGTGGACCAGTCGGACACCAGACTGCTACATGAGCTGGGTGAGAGAGTGAGAACCCTGCTGCACTCCTACTTCAGGAGTCCCTCAGGGCTTTTCATCTCCTTCACACACCTGGTGTGCCGCAGTGCCGCTACGGGTAATAACAATCACTCTTTATTCTGTCCTAGATCAGAGAAAGTTTCATTTCGACACGGTGATTTTATAGTTATATCAAATTTCCTCCTTCCTACTTGAATCGTTCCATCCTCATCCTAAGTCAGGTTAAATGCTCACATCATTAGCTTTTGTATACTAATTTCCAAAAGGTTGCAACATTACACTTCCACATAGAGTGCCTTAAAACTCGACAGTCTCGACATAAATCCAGCTGCACCCTAAAAGTTTTTTGTTAGTTTGTTTTTGATCGACGTTAGTGAACAAGCTGCAGACATTTATGGAGATGGAGGAAAACACCGAACAAATCGGAGACAAAAATATGCAGAAGTTTAAAGGAAACACTTTGTGTAATTTTTCCACCTCTTTATCATCATACAAGAGCTTCATGTTGGTGTGTTGCATGAAATGCTAATAAATTAAATTTAAGTTCATCGTTGTGAACAGATAAAATTGATTGAATGCAGCAAAGCACAGAACCGGACATTTCATTATTAAATATGCAACAGAGCTTGGCTTTCCAAGTCTTTGCTTCACTCTATAACTGTGTGATATTAAGAAATAAGCTATATTATTGTTGAATATTACAGTCTGGATATCAGTTGTAGAAGTGATATAGTTGCTTTGTCCTCTCTTTTGCTTTTTTTTATTATTGAAACACTCTTTAGGGTCAAGGGTCGTCTGACAAGTGGAAATTTTTTTAGCTCGTTTTAATTTATCATACAATTTATAGATTTATTGATTTAGGGACTTATTGCACATTGGGATAGATCTGCAGATGACTTAAAAATGCTTGGATCAGTCCATCACCACGCTGGTTCTGAAACGTGAATCTGTTTGTCTGTTTCCTTCCAGGTGAGCAGGAGGGCAGGATGGATTTGTCTCACCCGGTCCACGTCGATAACTGTCTTCTTGAGCCAGAAACCAAACAGTGTTGGAGGGAACCGCCTGCCTTCATTCACAGAGACCTCAGGTACAGGATAACCTGAGGTCCATCAGTGTTTATTTCATTTGCTTCATTTGTTGTTTTGATTTTATATCACCTTGTTCCAAATGTGTAAAAAAGAGAAAGAAAATATAACTTTAAAGTAAGTGAGATTTTAAAATGATCAGATTCAGTAAAGATGCATTTCAGCTAAAGGTGTTAATTTGTGGAACAATCTAAATTTCGTACTGCATGTAAAAGAAAATTGAAAATTATTATGATGGATAAGTTTTCTTTAAACAAATTGTCACCATCTAAAATCAATACGTTACATTCTATAAAATATGATAAAGTCGTTTTCATATGTAAAACCCAACAGCGCCATTCTCTACTTGAACGATAACTTTGACGGAGGAGATTTGTTCTTCACCAATCGAGACGCCAAAACAGTAACAGTGAGTCACTTTGATCAACAGAAATATGCAGATTATTGATCATTTTTTAACGCCTTGATGAATGTTCAATTTCTTTGCCCTCTTTATTGTCTGCAGGCTCGAGTTAAGCCCAGCTGCGGTCGACTGGTGGGCTTTTCGTCCGGGCCGGTGAACCCCCACGGCGTGACGGCCGTGACCCGGGGTCGGCGCTGCGCTCTGGCTCTCTGGTTCACCAAGGAGAAGCTCTACAGGGACATGGTGAGCCCTGAGGTCGGACCCGGCCTCCTCCCTGCTTATGTCACACCTGTGGCTGCGCTCGCTGATGTCGTGACTCTGGTGTTGGATAATCGGAGCGGCTCGAACACAATGCAAATCTGCTGCTGGTTTTGCATGACGATGGTCATTTACTGAGCTTGTTCTGCGGCCCGGTCGATGCGGTCTCATCGTGTGCATGCTTGGAAAAGATTAACCATTTAGGGCTCTGCGTTTCACCTCTTTACTCCACATTTAGTGATTTTACTCCAACATAAAAAAAAAAACAGGTTTCAGCCTTGAAACCCGCTGAAGCATTCCACGTATCGTAAGGTTGAAACCATGAACTTTAATATGTTTTATGGAGATTTTATCTAATAAGCCGACACAAAGTGAAGAGAAAATTCAGAAATTTTCATTTCTAATTAAGATCTGAAAAGTGTGGCCTGCATTTTTATTCAGCCTCATAAGTCAACACTTTCCACTGCAAGCCTTTTAATGTTTACCTTTTAATTTAGAGTTATGATTAAAATTAGAAGTTAAATACATCCAAACTTTACATGGTTTCAAATGTCCGATTGGAAAATAACAAAAAATTTCAGAAATTTTGTTCAAGAAGTTTTAAACAAGAATTTAAGTCATTCCAAAGCAAAGCAAACGTTTATTTTAACTTGTTAATGTGAGTGAAAATAATAGAGTAATGTGTGCTCATTAACTAGATGAGAGGAGATTTTTTTGCATATTTTGAAATAATTATTATTTGGTTTAAATCGCAGCATTAAGTTAAAACTCACAATTCAAGATTGACTATATGAAAAGAACTTAAAAAACAATTTTAGATATTTGTTTCTTGTTGTTAGATCAACTTCATGAATTTTATTTTCTGAGTTAAAACCAAAACAATTTTTCTGTTGAGTTGAATTTTCAAGTGAAACCAACTTAAAATGTTTTAAAGTGTACACCATTGTAAAAATACTCCTAAAAGTTTTTTTGTTTGTTTGTTTTGTCAAAGAAGTTACTAAAGTAAATGTACCGCAACTCTGGTTCCATCACAAAAATCCCATACATTGATTACACTGAAGTGTTTGGTGTATAAAAAAATTCAAGAGGTATTTTTGAGTCCAGTTTCATCAACTTCACACAAAACATCAGCAGAAATTTATTTAAAAACAAGAAAGAAACGTTTTGCTTTTGAACAACATCTTCAGAATTTGCTTCCCAAATCAGCTTCCAGCAGGAAATCAGCATTTTGAGATATTTTGCATCCCTGCTGCAGGAGCGAGAGGAAGCAGAGGCCTTGTGGGCCGCCGACGGACAGAGCGCGTTGAAGAAGGACGAGGAGGAGGAGAAGGAGGGCGGCGCCACCGCGGGCCGCAACGCCCGGAGCCACGCGCCCAAAGAACGGAGCAGAGGGAGAAACACGGTGACGGGCCGCAAAGACGAGCTGTGACAGTCAGAAGAGACGCTCAAGACTGAAACTGGACTTTATCTTCATCAGTTTCCACTCAAGCATTTCACTCCATTTGTGTTTCGTTTTTTTAATTCTGTTTAACTTGTGCTTTATTTATGCTGTAAGTGATGGAGAGCTGCCTTTGTGATGTCAGTCTGTATCGTTGCTCCGGATGCTTTTCTGACCAAACACTGAATTTGAAAATGGAAAGAATATAATGTGCATTAAATGTGACTCTTTACCGGCGAAGCATGAGTGCCACATGCCAAATGCACGCAAGAGGAAAGAGGATTACAGACGGAGAGAGAGGTTAGAAACGGTGGCAAAGTAAGGCCAGGCTGCAAGATCTGCTCAGCGATTTACCTCCGCCGGTTTTATTCTGGTCTGAATTTGAGCAAAATGATAAAGTTTGACTGACATGAGCATGACACACAGCACTCTGCTACCAAAAAACCCCCCAAAACCAGGAGAGAAATGTTGGATAGAGAGAGAGAGGTGAGCGAGGGTAAAAAAAAAAAGGATAGAAATAGAGAGATTACTGTTAATCCCTTATAAATGAGTGCATTTGTTTATGAAGCTTAAAAAGTCTCCCATTTAGAATATGGATTATTAATCCAAGGAGAGAGCACTTAATCATACACATCCAGTGGTGTGACAGCCAGCCGGCCTCCCATTGCAGCCGCACCATTCCCATCACAACCAGTGTCTCTTTGCAGCCCCCTCCCTTCACTACCAGGCCCATATTAACACTCTGTGCTGTAATCCGACACAAATTCGGGTCGACCGGCTCATTTAATGTAGTTTTAACCCTTTCCTCGCCCTACAAAATGTCGGGGTTAATCTCCTCTGAGGCAGGTGCCATTAGGCTCCCGACTGCCTGGTGCTGCGATTACAGCCATGAAACTCACATCCAGACGTTTTCCTGCTGTTTGGAGTTTCAGCAGAAATTACAGAGAGCCTAGACGACAACTTGTGAAACTGAAGTCAGAGCTTCCCGTCGTCTGTCTTTTCCTCAAAATCACGAGCTCTGCTGTGAATGAACTGACTCATCTGGATCATGTCAACTCATCTTTGATTTCTGTTTAGAGCTGCAGAAATAGCTTTATCATAAACACAAGGTTTGCTCTGTAAAACATAAAAATAACGTTTTAAAACACATCATTTAATTGAAAAATCATAGGGTTCCTGAAGCAGTCTTGAAATTTATTGAGTTATATTCAGGTATTTATCATTTATTGTGAAAAAAACGACTCAAATTCAAAAATACTTTATTAAATGTTGTTGTAACTCATGTTAATTTAAATCATTCGATGAGTTATTGTAGGTTGTTATGGCAGGAAAGCGCTCCTGTAGCAGTCTGTATTACAGCGAATTTGAAGAAGCTTCTGACTGAAGAGGTTGATTTTTTTTATTGGAAAAGCAGACAGCGGCTTTAAAATGTGTCCTCATGGTGGAACATGATGGTGGCAGCATCATGCTGCTTTTCTTCAGGAAAACTATTCAAAGTTGCAGAGACGTCATTTTTAATTCATGACACATTCAGATTGCAAGGCTTTACACTGGAAATCTCCTGATGAAAGGTAAATAGTTCATGACTATTCATCAGATTTATTCATATTGTCCTGTTAGTCCTGAAATTATGATTTGCTACATGCTCTCTGCATCCTGTCTGGAGTGTCTGCTAACTAATCCCCTCTTTGCGTTTCTGGTTTTTGTGTCCCACAGCCTGTTTCTCCCAAACTCCACTCAGTCCAAATCCCAGGTCAGCGCTGCTGTCGTCACTGCACTCGACGGAGCACAGGTCAACCCTTTAAAAACCCCGCAGCTTAATTTATCCTCACTGCATCATAATATAAACCTCAAAGTGGGCAGCACACACATTGACACACATCACAAGCCGGTTTATTCGGCTCCAGATTTAGATATATGGACAAAACATGCAAACAAAGAGTTCATGCTGTTTTGGGTTTTTTTTGGCACAGTGTTTGTCTTAACTGGTTTCAATCCTTGACTGGAAATGATATGTTTATATTTGACCCATTTAAGCTATAGTAGGGACATTTTATTTTATGTTAATGTTAATTGCAGGCAGCATTTTGGCATTTGAGTCCTTTAGTGAAGATTTCCAGTCAGTTTTTGTCTCACAGAGCTCATTCAGTTGTTATATTTATGTGCAAATTGTTTTGGAAAACACAAATTCATACAAAATGATTCAATTTTAGGTTTTATTAATGTAATATCAGCCAACTCAAACATTTTGTATGAAAAAGCAAACAAATAAGACATGACAGATTTAAAAAACTGAACATAGCCCATAGATATTGTGATTTCTGGTATTCTTTGGTAACTTTATAGAAATAGAAGTTTAAATTTCAAATAGATTTTTATCTTTATGCATCAACCTTCCTGTATGATGCTGCATGTTTTTGTGTTGTTCGATATTTTCATTATGTAAAGCACTCTGAACTGCCTTGTTGTTGAGATGTGCTATACAAATAAGCTTGCCTTGTCTAATTCACACAGGTGCTGCAGCCTGAGCTTTAGAACGGTCAGTTACATAAATACTTTTACCACTGGACAAATGTGGATTACAGAGGAAAATCTTGTGTTTTCTCTAATATAATAATAATAACAATAATAATAATAATGAAAATAATAATCATAATAAAACAAGTTCTCAAGTAAATTTAAGTTTATTTGTATGGCACATTTCAGCTCTACATCATAGAAACACAAAAATAAAAAGTAATATAAAACATCATGCTGTCAAAAATTGAGAAACCAGTGACAGATGTTACATTTTGTCAAGTTCTGTTTGCATTGTAATTATAAACCAGGTAAACTTTTTATTTTTATGCTCCAACAATTCATCCTGTTACAATAACATGTTTTGATGGACGATAAGTATTGCAATAATCAATAACATTGTTGTTTTGTGATAACTTTTAAGTGATATTATGGTTATTGCATAATAATGCAAGATGTTTTGAATATTCACAGTAAAAAAAAACAACAGAAACAAGAAATAAAAATAATTTTGAAGTTGGGCTGCACCGATTGTTTTTGTCCGATTAGCGATTTTTAAAAGCCTGACCTGGCGATTCTGATTTTTCCCAGAACCAATTTTTTGGTCTGAAATGTTGCTAAATAAAGCAAGAAAGTTGCTGAGTTGGTGCCAGTGGAGCAACACCAACTATTAAATGTAAATGTTCATACTTTACTTGGTGAGCCAGTCAGTCAGTCAAACCTTCCTGACAGGGGAGCAGAAGAGGACAGAGGTCAATTTTTAGACCTTTGCTGAGGTCAATAAGATCATTTTTACATGTAGGTAAAGGCCAAAAACCAAAAATATCAATCGATAAATCGGTGCATCCCTATTATGAAGTGTCTGTGAACAAAATTGAGTCCAAAGCATCAGAATGAAGATTTTTGTCATCCAGTGATAAATCATGTAAATTGGAATATTAATTTCGTTTTATTGTGTGATTAACAGATTTATTCTCGACAGGCCTATCAGTAATTTCCCACATTACTCCTTCCAGTCTGGTCTCTGCTCTGCTGATCTTCCTCTCCATCCACCAACTTTCTAATATTAGCTTCAGTTCAGGTTTACAGAACACAAACTGCAGCTCTGACCACCATAAATAGCCATCTTCCCAGGTCTGACATCCAGTCTCCTTCCCTCCCCAGTATGGTTTCCATCTCTGTACCCCCACATCCACGTTTTACACCTTGTTTGGTTTCCCTCCTCTCCCCCGCCCCGATCTGCCCCTCTTCTCTGTCCATCAGGTTTATCCCCTCATCGCTGATCTGCCTTCATCCCTGCAATCCTCATCTGTTTCTCATAGGAGCGGTGGACCGAGCGAGAAGCATCGCGCTGCGTGTGCGACAACAATAAGTGACTGAGCGGAGGAGAAAGTGTGCTGAACTTATGACAACGACCTGAAGCGATCTGACCGCTGGAGGAAGAGCTGCTGAAGATCCAGACAGTCGATTGGTGAGTGGACACTTATGTGCTTCAGTGACCAGGAAAAAAGTTCACCGAAAGGATAAAATCACATTTAGTGAAGAAAAATATATATAAATCCCAAACCACATATGTTTAATTGTTTTTGTTGCGACACCGCTGGATTATGCTGATTTGCGTATCTCCTTCTTTATTTTATTTTGTTGTTTGTGTATTTTTGTTGCTACTATTCATTCTCTAATCTTGTTTTTTGGCTGATCAATACTTATTCTGTGTAAATTTAAAAATAAATTCAAATAAAATCACATCTATCAGTTAGATCTTTTATAAATTAGGTTGTTTCTTTAACTCTTCCTTAAAGTATAAAAGCTTTCAAATGTAAAAATCCAGCACATCAAGATGAATTAACAGTTTTTGTTTAAATATTCTCCTTCATGCTGATGACAACCTCATATTGCAACAAACTCAATGAACATATTTGTTGTTTGCTAATCTTTCGTGGCAGATAAAAAAGAGATTTGAGGCAAATATTATGGTGGTATTATATGGAGAGATAATCTCAGTAAAAGCAACTTCCCTCTCCAGTGGGATTCCTCAAAAAGCAGAATTAAATTGGTTGTGTGCACACATTCAGATTTATACTGGAAAAATATGACTCTAAAGGTCATTTTTCAACTTTTAAAACTTGATCAATAGATGTCATTTTCAGAAATTACTGCAAACAAAAAACTCCAGCTGCCTCTCCTCCATCTGCCCGTCTCCTCCCGCTATCCTCTCCCCATCCCTTTCTCCGACTCTCATCCAGATGTAAAGAGCAGTCAATAATCGGATGAGAGCAGATTTGATTCAAAAGGCTTCCCTTAAAATCTCAACTCTGTTGGATTTTTAAAAAAAAAAAATAATAAAAATAAACTGGCTCTTCTGTCTCACCTCTCCTCCTCCCTCCCTGCCTTAATGCACTTCTCCCTCCAGCAGCCATTTAATCACATGGAAACAACGACAGAGGTCCAGGAACCGGACGGCGAAAAGGCAACTGAAACAACAAATAACAATAAAATAAAAAGAATAATAAAATCCTCCCCAGTTTTCACTTTCAGCTGCTGAAAGAAACTGCCAGGTTTTAAATCAGACATTTAATAATAATAATAAATCAGATCTCTTTCATTGAAAGTTAATATCACCTTCACTCTCTTCCCCTCTCTTTTTTTTACTTTAAACAAATTAAAGGCAAATCCTCTTGGTCATGTGTTATGACAAGGACACTCATTCAAATA